ATTCAGTTAGAGTTTTTTAAAGTAGTGTAGAGTTCAGTAGTGAACGATAGATCTTACAGATAGATAGTGTAAATGAGTAGTAAAAATAAAGATCCGCTTTTTGCGGAGGCTAGCAACTCGAGGATGGGGTGTAGGGTGTGGGTGTGCAGTGGGTGTGGGTATGGGTGTGAGTATAGTTGCAGAGAAAACTCGAACTCGAACCCACACGCCACACTCACCCACACCCTCCGGAGTATTTTGTTACGAACATCCGCCACCCGCTATTACGTACATCCGTAGTTTTCATTCCGAACATCCGTCGCTTTTTATTACGAACATCCGTCACTTTTTATTCCGAACATCCGTCATTTTATGTTCCGAACCTCCTGTATTTTTCGTTCCGAACATCTGGACGACTTTTACTCCGAACATCCGGTATATTTCAAAGCAACTGGGTTTCGGAACAGCCATCTATGACCGATGTCCGTAAAAAAAAACGAGGACGAAAAGGGAGCACCCCTTTCATTTCACACCCCCACACCGTTTCGAATACTAAAAAAATAAGTTAGATTTTGATTTAAAAACGAGAAAAAAAACGTACTAGCGGACAATCATTAAATGACTTTTACAACATGAAAAGTGCCATACAACCGACTAAACTTGTTTTTGTCTCTTACTGTGTGTATCAGACAAAACAAGTTATAAGCTTCCAGAAAAAAATGGGAAGCTAACGCTTTTCTTAACTGCTGAAATCGAGTTGATAGTTGACTCATACTTGTTATACGATTACTTGTGAGAGACAATATGCAATAAAAAATTCTCGCGCCAATGTTTTCAAGCGTCAGATATCACTTTTTCGAAGTTAAACGGAATATTTTTTTTATCGGTTTTTTCTGCATTTGAAAAATTAATGTAGTTCAGCGAAGAATGGTTTTTAGACGAAAATTGTTTAAGCTGTTGAGTTATATTAAGGAGTCTACCTGAATATCGATATATATCATCTTTCGGCCACCACGTCTAAACGCAAAACACACTCAAATAAAATTCGAATACGTTCTACACTACAATGAATCCATTTTTTAGTCTTGTTATTTGAAGTGTTGATATTACCCATATACATGTGGAGTACATACAGCTTTATAATCGGCATTGAATAGTCGTTCCGAAGTTACGAGATACTTTTCTTCGGTTTTTTATATTCGGTGACTGGCGTACCCTACATATTTCTCTGACGACTACAGCTCATTGGAATCAAAATTTTCGGATTTGAATTCGATCGAGTCTGAATCCCATCCGATCGACTCTAGTCACAAATGCATGTTATTTAGAAGTAAGATCTACTCGAGTATGATTTTGTTTAACTTATATCTATAATCGATTTAATCGTAGTCGAAAATGATTCGAATGAATACACAATATTTCTTCATGATAATATATAGAACCTGGTTGCTACAAAAATGACATTATAAATAGCATCGAAATAAGTTGTGTTTTATTTTCATGTAGTTCTTGACCCTCAATCAGCATGCTTATGTAAAATAAGAAAGAAAAAACCATAGAATGTAATCTTTTATTGAAAGACTTATATTTCTAATAATGATTTAAATTTTAAAAAAGCTTTGAAGTTTAACGTCATCTTTATTAGCAGATGTTGAAATCCAAACTGTGTAAATACCAGGAGCAACAGTCCATTTTTGATTAATAACATTCCAATATGAAATATCCTTTTGTGTTAATACTAATGATACTTGTTTCGATTTACCTGGTGCTAAGTACACTCTTTCGAAACCTCGTAATACTTTTGGTGGTTGTTGTGCTGTAGCTGGAAATCCAAGATAGAGTTGAGATACTTCTGAACCATAGACTTTACCAGTATTAGTGACAGTAAATGTTATTTCATAGATAGGCATATACATTCTTGAAGCAACAATATTAGTATAAGGTCTCATTCGATGTTGTTGATGTTGTGATGAAACAGTATATTTTTCTTTTTCACATTTTGAAATATGAAGATGAGAGAAGGAGAAAGTTGTATATGAGAGACCATACCCGAAATAATATCGAGGTACAATATTATATTTATCAAAATGCCGATAATCTAAGAAAACACCTTCATTATAATTAGAACTGTCTGTTTTACTAATATCGGTACCATAATCAGAATCATTTTTAGCTAATGTAAAAACAAGTTTACCTCCTGGATTATAATCACCAAAGAGAACATCGACAATAACTGGTCCATATTCAGATCCAGGCATACCTGACCAGATAACACCGACCACATTTGGAAGATCAATCCATGCTTCAATATTAAGTTGTGAAACACTATTAATTATGACTACAGTGTTAGCACAATGAGCAGCAACAGTTTGAACAAGTTTATCACCATTATTGAAAGCATGAAGATCCGTTCTATCTGTTCCTTCTGTCGACCAAGCACTAATGAAAACAAGACATGTTGCATTAGCAAAGCCACGAAAACTGAATGAATCATTAATAGCATTGTAATCACTTTGATTAGTGATATATTGTATTTGAAGATGTGAATCTCGACCTTTGATCAAAAATGAACTAAGAGGATCAATGGCATACGTCGGAACAACATAGCCAGAACCTCCACCTTGATATAATGCACCTGTAGGTGGTTTCAAAGCAGCTATAAAAAAATTTAAACTAGAACCTTCATTAGATTGACCTGCTGCTGCTCCATAAATAAAAAAGTATTTATTTTTATTAACATTAAATGGTAAAACATTGTTTTTATTTTTGAGTAAAATAATGCCTGCACTACTAATTTGTCTATTAATCTTGTAATTATCTCTCATAACATCTCGATCTAAATCAAGTGATGGATATCCTTCATCTTGTTTGAGAAGATAATAAGGTGCTAAAATTCGAGTAATCATATCATTAATTCTTGTTTCTGAAATCACTCTATTTTTAACAGCTTGTACAAGTGAAAAACCCAAGAATCCATCACCACCTGGCATTTCTACATCTAAACCAGCCAAAACTGATTTCACGCCAGTTTTTATCGCAAACCAATCAGACATAATATTGCCCAAAAATTGAAGTTCTTCTTTCAAAAGTCCATTTAATATTTTATCATTTTGGCAAGCTTGTGTACCATTGATTTGATTATATGAACACATAACAGAACCTACACCAGCAGCTACACTAGATGCAAATGGCCAAAGATAAATTTCATGTATTGTCTTGTCATCAATATTAACTGAATAACCTTTGGCATTAATTGCATCTGATCGATTTGGAAAACCTGGTAGACCAAAGAAACGATTGGTTTCTTGTTCATTACAAATATAATGTTTGGCAGTTGCAATAACACCTTGATCTTGTATACCTTGAATATAATAGAATGAATTTTCTCCAGAAAGATATGGATCAGCACCAAATCCTTCCCAATTTCGGCCATGTCGAGCATTTCGATCAATATTTATCATTGGACCTAAAATAACATTGACTCCTTTACCTTGAAACTCTTTACCTATTGCAGCACCACGTTTATAGAATAAATCTTGATCCCAACTAGCTGCAATATGTATACCAGGTACAAAGGCAGTTGAATATAAAACTCCACCACCAACGCCAGATGGTGAATCTTGAAAGCAGAGTCCTTTAAAATTCAGATGTGACACAGGAAAAATATGACCAGCACATGGACCTCTAATACCAGCTGTCATGTTGCACTTTTCTTCTAATGTTAATTGTGCAACAAATGCTTTAGCCATAGCTATGGCTTGATCCCATGTTCTACTTGAATGTTTCGACTGTTTATTTGAGTTGAGATTAATGACAGTCGAATATGTAAATGAAAAACCAACAATAATAATTATTACGAATAGATGATTACCATTCATTTCGATGATAATACTTGATTTTGTGTTTTACAATAAGTATTTATATACGTGAAAGAGTGTCGAGACCAAAGAAATGTGTACTCGTTATGTTATCTATTTCACCTGAATATAAAGATAAGTTCATACAATGATTGCATTTAATTATTAGTTAGGTCATATATAAGATATTGTTAATAAAAAATTGTGATACTGGATATTTTAAGTTTTTCTTACATAGATCATAAACACACTTAAGAACATGCAACTTTTCGAGATGCTTATTATGTATATATATCCCAGGCAACATTAAACTTTAGGCAAAATTAAACTTAGGTAAAGTTAGTTTTAGTAGGCGCGAAACAGAGAAATGTTTTTTATTGATTGTTAATCTAACTGTCAATAGAAAAAAAAAACTATTCGTTTACATAAATTTTAAATAAAAAAGCAGAATATTCTTTTTCACGTATTTAATCGTATCATAAGTACAGTGATGACTTC